AAAACCAGCGGGTGCACATTTTGCTGTAACCACTGCAGCTCCATATTCTGAAACTTCAAGATTAGCATACATGCTGCCATGATGGTGGCTTATTTTTGGAGTCAGAAGTAATCTTATTTGGATTAGAGGATGGATTAGCAAGCTACCAGCTAACATTAGCAATGCTGGGTTAGCATGCTGCACCCATAAACTCCATAAGTTCATCAGGCACAAGTAACAGACTTAGCCCATAGTAGATCATACTACAGTTTCACTCAAAAAAGATGAAATTGTTTGTGACAGTTTTACAGTGGCTTAATTTTTGCTCACTTTCTAATCACCCAGAGTACCCTCTTTTTCACTCTCACTGTCACACTGTCAGTCATTAGGCTTGATCTACAGATGTTTTAGCCTTGAACGGGTGGATTGTAAAAAATCAAAAAGGAGATAAAATACACATTCCCGGAGGTGAGCTACTAGACATTTTAGTTATGTTTGCTTAATATACTGCAGTTAAAAAAAGAAAAATAAAAGACAACAGGTGTGTGACGAATACAGAGTTCAGTAAACAATGGGAAACTTTGCATCTTATAAAGAATGACCTTTTTTGGCCATGTTTCTTTCACTCTTAGTCTGGGCTCTTGTTGTCATTGACCAACTTCCTGTTTCTGTTTTCCTGCACATTTTGCTCTGCAGAAATGCTGATGTGTGAAAGAAGTGGACTTACACAAAACTGCTACACTTACATTTGAATTAGGTGGCTTTATAGCTATGTGTTATTAGCTGTGGTAGTATACAGTAGAAAATACATTTTCTACTGTATACATCAGGGAAAATAACAACATTAGTTGTTATTTTCCCTGATAACAACTAATGTTAATTCTGATCATATGTTATTTGCATATCAAAATATTCAAAGTATAACGACAACAACAACCCAACAAACCACATAGCTCAGAATATGCAAAATAATTGTTCCGGATTTGAGAGCTCTGTAGTCTGTAGTAATATGGCCAATATAATGCTATTTTGATGATTCGTATTATATCAGATCATACTGAAACACTTTGAATGGAAACCTCAAAGATAAGCAGTCTCAGATGAGTCATTGTCTGAGTAATGTGCTAGCCTTTCTTAGAACTCTGAAAAATATTGTTTGAACTTACAAAGGAAAACCCCTGTATGTAATTTTGCTTAGGAAATGTTCACTGTTAAACTTGTTTCTCTTTTTGGTGTTTGAGAGGGAGTGTCAAACTAAATGTGATCGGCTGATGTCAGATAAGGAAAACAGTTTGCAGAAAAAGAAAGGAGCCGTGGAAGACACACTTGCTGCTGTAACAAGCATGTAAGCAAAGCAAGAGTTTATGGTGGAACTTATTAGCTGGCTGAAGGTTTCAGAGGGACTTGAGAAATTCTATTGAACAGAAGAACATTTGGTAAGGGCTATATGATATGTCATGTGTAATATGTAAGTGAAGCTGCGACTATCTGTGGATGTCTGTGGAAAGTCACTGGTGCTTGTTGTAGTATTGTATAACAGCAAAATTAAAAAGCAGTGACTGTGTATTTACAATTAGACAACAGAATTTGAACTTTCTTTTTGAATTGTTAACAGTATTTTCAGTGTAATTATTCAGTGATTTATAGTCCTGTCATTATTATTCTGTGTACTACCATCATGTGTGTTCATTCACAGGGAGAAGACCATGGGTTTTTTTTGTTTTTTTTGGGAGAAGACCATGTGTAGGAGCTTTCTCCTCATAATTCTGACTTCATGTGTCTGCGGTTAGTTGAACCTCCATGAGGACGCTGATTTAATACCTTTGTGAATTTATATTTTACAAAAAGATTTAGTAATGGTTAGAACAGTTGTTTTTAATAGTTTAGCCATCATCATTCCCAGAGGAAAAATTGTGATAAATTTAGATGAACTCGAACTTTTTTGTCTGTCATCTTGCTAATGCCATACAGTGGCTAAAAAATTAAGCTAGCATAGAATAGCCCAGATTTGAATTTCCTACTTTGCGTCAAAAATAAGCTACATAGTACAAAAGAACAAACTTAGTCTTACTAGCAAACTGGGATAGTGGCCACTTGACCAAGAGCTGCATGTCAACAGAACAAGCTATAGCTATTAGCTGGTTGCTAGACTTCTCTCTAGTCTGAGTGGAGGAACTGGATTGCTCATGCAAGTGTTCCCTTTTTGAGTCTGAATTTGTCCTGGCTCCTTCTCTTCCTCTCAGAAATGTCCGCTAATCATAACAAGGATCTGTACTATCAGGCTGAAGAAAATAGTGACATCACAGTAGAATGGACGTTTACAACCAAAGTTAGCATCACCATTTCATCGCTTAAGATCCACTGCCTGCAGTTACCTGAGCTGAAGGTTTTCTTCAATATGGACAGTAGTTCTGATGAGCCTCAGCATGAGCAATTTGCTGGACGTGTTCAGTGTGACAAAGACGCTCTGACGACAGGACGAGTCAGACTTCAGCTGTCCAGAGTTAGGAGTAACGACTCAGGCCGCTATCTTTGCAGGATGGCCACTCAGTTTGGAAAGAAGGTCAAAGAGTTCAGGCTCAACATCACTGGTAAGCTTTGTGTGTGTGTGTGTGTGTGTACAACTACTATTCCTATTTCTGCTACTGGAGTAATGAAATTTATTTACATATCACCTTTACAAAGCTAAAAAAGGGCCGGAAACACAAATTCATATTGAAAACACAAAACTTTAGAATACACAAATACATATTTACAGTTAAAATATTCCAAATATAATAACCAGGCTTCAGGGTGAGAGAGGACTTTTTGTGTTAATGGAAATAATCAGGAAAGCAGGATTCCTTGATGGATCCTACATCTTCTCAAAGTTATAATCCACAGGGAGCACCTTGGAAGTCTGCAGAATCTGCAGTCCACTTGGAAAACAATGGAAGTCCAAATCCTCCTCAGAGTTATAATCTAACATGGCATTGATAATGATGATCATGATGATGATGAGGGAAATAGAGACAAATCCAAACCCTAATCCCCTTTAATCCAGATACTTTTCTCTTTAAAACTGTGTGTCAATTACAATAATCTCAATACAATCCCCATTTTCACTAAACATACACTTTGAAAGTCAGGCATTCAGAGATCAGAGTGTACTCTATGTGGTCATTCACTCTCACATTCACTCTCATATCTTTCAAGGCTGTTTCTACACAGGCTGTCTTCTAGACCTGAGTTACGCCTGTATCTAAAATAATTATTTTCTTTTTATACTTTTATTCTTAGTCATCCTTTTAGCCAAACTCAAACATCTTTATATTTACTAATTGTGTTCTGATCAGTATTGAGCATAATTAACTTTCACCATTTAACACTGTTTTTCTTTATCAAAAGTATAAGGATAGTTTGGCAACACAGATCTTATCTTTTCAAACTAAGACATGAATAAAAAGTCTGCACACACAAAATCGGGACATTAGAATAGACATTATCACTGCTCAGACTAGATCTGTCTGCTAACATAAAGATACATTTTAAATTGCGTCTTAAAACGTATTATTTTATTGTGGCTTTTGATTCAAACTAGTATGTTATTTTGTGGCTATTTTTTTTGTTTGTTTCAAACAATTGTCATATTGTTTCCTGCCCTCCTTTTAACTGTTTCTTTTTATTCTGTCTTATGCTATTGCTCTGACCGACTGTGAAGCATTTTGATGTCATACTGCTTTTATGTTTTATGTAACTGCTCTCAAGTTGAGTTTGCCTCTCCAGCAATGGACATCTTTGGTCAAATCTACTTGTTTTTAAGTGTTAAAAATGAACTGAATTTGAAAATACATTTATTTGGTATATTCTTTCAGTAATCCTAATCAGTTGTATAATCAATACTTGTTCTTCACAGCAGCCACAGTGAAACCCAAGCCAGTGACAGCAACACGAGAACCAAACCGAAAACCTGAGAGAGAAGAAAGAAGCCTTTTTTCCAACTTGGCACTGGGTGCAGGATTGGCAGGATGTCTGGCTGCCTTTGTTATACCAATCATTTACCTCTTTACTCTCTACAGACAGGTGACAACTTAAAGTATAAAACATAGTACACTCAGTCATACAATAGCTTCTGTAGACCTTGGTAGTGACTCTGCAGGGCTCTGGAACTTGGCTAGAGATCGTCTGATCACTCTAAGTCAGCGAGCTTATTGGATATGGGTCATTGTCCTCCTGGGAGAGACCAATCTCATCAGGATGAAGATGATTACTTAGAAAAACTGCAGTAACACTTCACTCTCAAGGATTAAGTGGAAACAAAGAATGGAAGCAAAGTGCCTGCTCAAGAAAGTGGAATGAGGAACATACATGTTCTTCTGCTGCCCCCTGCTGCTCTGAAGAGAAATGCAGGAGCTCAGTGACAAGCGCTGAGCAGGTCCTTCTGAGCTTTTGAAAAAGGTTGGACATAAATCACAGAAGTCTCTGAATTCTCACCGTTTTCTACCTTATTAGTGTTACAGCTGAAATGTGAATTTAAAAAAGAGTAACATTTATAATTAGTAAAATAAGAGAATACGAGTTTTTAATGACCTTTTATGTATTGTTAATAGTGACTCTGTTGTACTTTTATTACTGGATCTTAGTCCTGCATTTGACACAGTGGAAAATAAGTTTAATTTTCCATGATTAACAATAAAATGGAGAAATCATGTAGGAGAGTCATGCCAGCAATGAAAACCGCTTCCTGTATCTCGGTAA